AGTTCTAAATATTAACATGAAAAACAAAATGGATGTTCCTTCATAAAATCAGCTGAAACCTGTTATAATGTTAATGGAATATGCATATTGTAAATTCCATTAAATGACAAAAGTCTTTGAAATATGTGAAGCCAACAATGTTTGAGATGATTAAGTGTATGCAAGGTACACAAACTAAAATTTATGTAAGAAAAATTCTAACTTGAAATTTTATTAAATAAAATAAGAAGTGAACAGTATGCAGAAGGCTGTGAGTACAACATAGTTTGTATTCCATTTAAGAAGTTTCTCTTGATTAGATATATTTTTCCGCATTTTACAAATTTATAAAATCTAATTCCGTTTGAATGATTGAAAATATTTCACAAGTACTGATATTTGCAATATCGATATTAAAAAAATCGTAAAATCAAACCATTAAGGTTAGAATTTTAACTATTTTTTGCATTTCTTGACTGTTTTCTTTTAATGAATTTCTTATCATCCTCTTTCTTTGATAATCAAGAAATAATGCATGTTAACAATAGTAAAGCTTTAAGTTCAAATTGAATAACTGAATGGAAAATAATAAAAAATAGAAGATGGCATTATACTATTTGAAATTGAGAAAAATGTTAAGAAAACAATTAGCAAGTTATACGAACCATTTTGGAGTTAGCCAAAGAATTTCTCCAAGATGACAAACTGTCATCACTGTTTTTCCGAACTGCTTTCGAGTCACTGATATCGATGTCGATAGATTGCTGCGTACGACTTCGTCCAAATCGTGTCATTCCACTACGCACTGAAAATGAACGCTTAATTAGGTAATGAGGTGATAAACTTAATATAATGCACTCATTGGCCTGAAATGCATTCTCTATGAGTGATTATGCTCTTGATAAAATTGAACAGTAAGGAGTCCTTCAAAAATCAAATCAAGTCATACTTAGCGCAATGCTCTTTTTAAATATTTTAATAGAAGACAAAAATTTTATTAGCAAAAAACATTTGATCGTGATGAGACTCACTGACTGATAAAGCGACAAGTCGATTTATTTATTAATAATATCTGCCAATTTCTATCTTACCCTTGGATCAAATTGTCCCTAACAGTTAACATATTTGCAGAATTCACCATGACGTCTCTTTCTGATAGTAACTATTCTCGAAGTATTTGCTCATATAAGTTGCACTTATTTCCACTTTTATTTTATTTTTTACTATTTGTTTATTTTTGGTAAAAAGTTAAACTTTGTGGACAATCGCAAGATATGTTCAATTATACATTTTATAACTAATAAATATCTTCATTCAGTGTATAAATTGTGATTAATTATGTCTCTTAATATTGAATACGATTTTCAGGTGCCATCACTAAATAAAACTCAATTAACGAAGTAAATGTACATATATTACTGGCAACATTTCAAAATATTTTGCGTTCTCGATGGAGCACATGTAGCATGCCACATAACCTCACTTCTGATCACGAATACCCTCACTCCTGATCACGAACAGTCACTTTTATTTCTAGCTTAAATATCATCTCGCTGCCATGCATATTTGTTATGTTGCACGATAGTGTATAATATGATTTTTTGTATGTTGCTCCACAGACAAAAAATACCAAGCAGCTATCTTACGCAAACGTGAATTGCTGGAGTGGTTGCATAAACAAAATTGGCATGCTTGATAGACTTAAATGCTAAAAATCGGCATCGAAATAGCCCAAACTAGCGTATTTTTTTTCGTATAGAAATATCAGGTGACTACTGTTTGCTTCATTAATTTTGATGTTGAACCGAATACTATTGAATGCGAACAAAATTGTAATTAAAATGACATTGTTGTCACAGTTATTCATCCATCAATACCACGTACTCTGTCCAGCATTTATTTCAAATAATTAAAATATTGCCACAATTATCTCAATGTCAGTATTACTCTACAACAAGTAATTTTCTTCAAGTCTATCAAACAATACTTTCACACTGCATTTATCATTCACGTATAATTTAATAGCGTCAATTGTAATTATTTAATACTATAAAATTCTTTAGGATTATTAAATAATTTTTTAACTACTTACAATCAATTTTTATAACAACTTTACTTCTAATAATCATCATCGATCGCTGAAAATACCAGTAACCTGTTTGCAGATTGTATACCTTCTATTGATTTCAGTCACGTTATTTATTACTCTCTACAAATGCTCGAAATTTTCAAAAAAGTTAGAGCGAATTTACTTTCCATATTTACTGCATTACAGATCTCTGTCAAAAGTGATTTAAAGTTCATTCTAAACATAGAAATAAACATTTGCTATTGCAAAATTTCTGACCACTTCAATTTTCGTGACAAGTAAATGAACTAATTAATTAAATTAATGAATTAAATAAACTAATCACTTAAAATTAAAATTGTGCGCTTAATTCTTATTAAGTTTTGAAAAGAAGATTAAAAATATTTTCGCTTTTCCTTTTATAAAATATAACCATTCATTTTCACGCTAAGGATGATCAAAAATTCACTACATTGAATGAAGGCTTTCATCTCTGGATAATAATTTGAGATACAAAGAGAAACGTAACTTGTTACAAAAAAACAAAAGTAATGAGACAATATGACTGGTAGCGCGTAAACAAAGAACAGTGGATGTGGTCATATAAGCTTATTGAAAACTATAATTTTATTAAATTCCAGCTTTTTAGCAGAACTAAAAATAAAAGAGCTTCATAATTGTATGCCTTCTACTTTTTCTACCAGAAAAATCATCTATTTGTTTTCTTTGCTTGCATATTTGATACAAATTGAAAATTTTTGCCCAGTCGTCTATTTCTCGCGACAGTATATATACAATAGATCAAAAGTGCCTTCTTGCAAAATTCCATTTGCATTGAAAAAAACTAGCAGAAAAAATTTTCCCTTTCTGTACCATATAAAAGCGCGGAAAAAAAGTATCTAACACTGAAGTAGTTTTAGTAAATATATTTAATATTTTTTGCTCTTTTGATAGCATAATTTAAACAGTGATATTATTATTTCAAAAGCTAAACTACGGAAAAAATATGTGTGTGCTTTTCACAGAGATTTATTCGTTGTAATTATTGCAAGTTGGAACGAAAGCAGATAAATAACTTTTTCTCATTTCATCTCAAGACACATCAAAAAGTCGTTTTTGTCTCATAAGCTGCTTTATCAAAATTTCACGCAGAAATTAGTAATAAAAAGTGACTAAAATATCGAAATATGAAATGAATAAATTTGAATGACTAAAAAGCTTTAAAAACAGAACATTAATTGATTCAAGAAATACAGCAAAACTTTTTTCACAGCTGTACTAAGTGTTTAATAAAAACTTGTTGGTTGATAAAAACCAAATTTTCTTTTTTAAAAAGCAATTTTTACTGATAAGAAATGAGAAAAATTGTTTACATGAAAGAACAAAATAGAACTTGTTACATTATTTTGTCTGTAACAATTTACCAAACAGCAAAGTTATATATCTGGTTTACTGTTTTATTGAATAAAAAAACAAAAATCAAAAATTGAAAAAAATATTTCATATTTATCTCAATCTTCAACCTTAAAACTTTTTTTTCTTTCATGTGCCTAAGTCTGTTTTATATTGTTTTTCTACGTCTCATGTAACTCACAACATTTCCTTCAATTAATTAATAATCGAGTTTTGTCAGAGAACGCTTTATTTGATCAAGAATATCTGTCCCGTGGCACACATAAAAGATAAAGAGCTGATATAAAATTAAAAACAATAAACTAATGTATAAGCCATGTTTTGTGTGTTGATATTACATCTATGATTTATCTTATCAAAATTGTCTTCACCAAATGGCTTTTTCTTTGCAGTGTTTAATCGATTTCAGCAATTGTTATTTTATTTTAGTACTGCCATCGTTACCATTATTAATATTAAAAAATTATTTACAATTCAATGTTTACAATTTTTCGCTCGACTGAATGCTCAGTAAACAGCAATTTAATTTCCTAACGAATTTTAATGATTATTTTTCTCAGAACTCTGTAGCAGCACTAAAGTTAGGTAGCTAATACTTTCATTTTTATGGCTCTTTCAACTACTTTCTGAAATAGTTTTGATGTAGATTTGTTAAATAACAATTATAATGAGGTTAGCTAGTATCTTAGCACAAAAATCAGCTCATAATGTGGAAGAAATATACAGGTTGCGTTAGAAATATGGCAAATTAGTGCCTAATAGCTTTCTGCAAAAGGTAGAAATGCAAGTAAATAAAAATTTGAAGTAATCAAAAGTTATTAAATACACAGAATTCTAGCATCAATAATTGGAGATCTTTTAAAAAAAGAAAAAAGTCAATTATGATTTGAAATTTAGATTATTTGGTTAATTATAATGAAAAAGATCAAACTAAAGATACTCTTTGAAAAAATTCTAAAAAATTAGATTAAAAATATACTCACAATGATAATGAACAGAGAAAGTACGACAGCAGTAAAAGAAAACATTAAAAAACCAAATAATAAAAAAAATCAGTTTGAAAGAAGTTTCTTTCAGTTTGAGGGATGTAAAAAAAGAAAATGACTTATGATCAAACCAAAAGTTTCAATTAGCTTTTGTTACAATTGCCTGCCAAAACATCCGGTAATTACTACCCATAATAGGTTTGGTAGATGACCTCCAGTAAAAAGTACAATATATAATACATCTAATTTACTTCTTCAAAGGAATTAAAATTCACAAATTATGTAATTTTCTGCAAATTGCATTGACTTTCATTTCTATGAATGTAGCATTTCAAGAGTCAAAGTTCAGGGCTAAATATTATAATAATTCTTTACTTTATCATTTGGAGCAAATAAAAACCAAAATTAGAATAATCATTAGCCAACTCTCACAGAAAAATATTTGGACTCAATATTTCACGCGAAAAGATGAAAGTCCACTTTATTGGCTGGTAAATTTATTAGGCAGAAAATTTCATCTTTAAAAGTAATGTGCATTTTAAAAGTTTTTATATTCACGTAAAATCACCTCGTGCAACAATGCGTTGACCACTTAGGAAACTGGCGTCACAATTGTCTGGAAGTGGCGTTCGGGAATTTTCTACAAAAAGAAGTACCATTGATGGGATGAGGCCACGTTGCCGTAAGCGATGATCCAAACAGTCTCGAAGTTTCTGGTTCGGGAAGGGCTGAACTTTTTCTGCTTTTCCAACTGACCGGCCTGAAATGTCACTTGATACTCGTTATAGATGGTCAGAAATGAGCTAATCTGAAGTCATATAATGCTGCTTAAATTGGAAATACACATTTTATGTGATTTTCAATTCGAGTTCCAGCAAACCGCTAAATGAGAGCGTAACATTTGGTTAATTAGACTGCTTTCTTGAAAACTGCCAACAAAGACGTTGAAAAAAACTTTGAAAATATCTAACAAATCAAGTAACACAAATTTACTTGCTTTTGTAATGTCGTTTAAATACCTCATTATTAAAATGAAATTTGATTATTATTTCTTGACAATAACAAACCGAGAATTATTGCCGACTCTAAAAAACTTAGTTCAAAAATATCTCGGAAAAACAGAATTTTCACCTTAAAAACTGATGATAAATGAGATGTTATGCTGCTTAATTGATTTACTCTAAATATCACAAGAAAAATATTTGCTTTTGCACCATTTTCATCATAGCGTTTGGTTGAAAACTCTTTGCTAAAGTACATTAAGAAGACATTTAAAGACTGTAAAAAATTTGCTCATTGCTTACAAAAATATACTTGATAGACGTGAATTCATACGCTTAAACACCGCCAAAATTCATTAAAAAATGATATTAAAAGAGAAATTGCAAAACTATTGCATTTTCTTGACTACATTGCTTTTGACTTTCCGGTAGCTTAAAAAGTGAGATTTTGAATCGATCAAGTATTTAAGCTTCTTTTTATCCTAAACAATATCCCTCGAGTCATGTCTGTGTGATCAATATGGTAATTTTTCTTTTTTTTTTTTTTAAATAAAAGTTATTCTTGAAAGTATCTTGAATTAACATTGAGAATTATCATTTACTCGTTACTTTACCAGGAAGACTTCCTTTAGTAAATATGCTTCTTTGTTAATGAATTAAAGAATACTGAAGGAAAAAAGTACAACTAACTAACCATACTCATCATAGTATTCAACGTGAAAAGCACCGACGGAATGCTCATACTTGCGATCAAGATCCATTGATGGATAACGACTCTGAAAAAAAGTAATCATGAGGAATTTTCTTCTGACAACAGAAAACAACGATTGTATTGATGAAATCAAATAACCTCTGATGACCAACAATCATCTCGTCTCAATTATATACGTATTTCCATTCTCCCAACCTCCCGCCCTTCCACGATTATCCTTTCACCTGTATATCATTTTATGAAGTACCTCGTCACTGTTTTCAGTTGAAATTAATGCAGTTTTCCAAATTGGAAAATCAAATAAACACTTTACAAGAAAAATTTCAATCTCCCTTTGCGCAAATGTTTGTCAAAATTAACCTCAACAAATTTCGATTTTCATGTTAGAAGAAAACCATGAAACTCAAACTAAAGTTGTACATCTATTTTGATAAAAAACAATTATGGATAATTGCAATTGAAAAAGAGATGAAAAATGTATGTGCATCAAAACTTGCATTATCAAATAGATTTCAACTGCTATACTCGAAGCGCTTACAAATAAAAGTTTTGAAGATTGGAAAATTAATTTCAGTTCAACCCGAAAAGATTGTATAAATTGCGGAATACGACAGGCATAAGTCATATTTGATCGTTAATCTCATATAGCAAATCGCAAGTTGTATTCCAATTTTTACTTGGTTTTATAATGCTTAAGAATAATTTTACTAAACTTATATTATATTTAATCTTCATATCCTTGAAATCCACAAAACTAAAATTAAAAATTGCAAAGCTCAAAAATGTTGAAAAATCAGGAAAAGAGAAATCATTAATTTTTTATTACTTCATTCCTACATCTAAACTGATGCATTAGTCACGATTTTAAGAAACTTTCAGGATGAAAATTTGTGCTCAGTTCAAATCCTACTCCGCTGATGTCTTATCATCTTCCATTTTCTTGTCTTCTGTTCTCAAATGCAAAGTATTGTTTGCTATAAAAACGAACCAATTGTTCATAGCAAGGACTGCGCTGCTGTCTTAAAAAACTTCACATGGACATGTCAAATTATCAAAAATATATGACAAATAATATTCATCTATGCTTTCACATTTCAAAAAAAAGAAAGAAACAAAATTACCAGTAATAGAAAAATCATCATGCTCATGAAGTAAAATAAAGACAAACAAGGAAACAAAAGAAGGTAAGTGCTTTTATTTTTGCAATACATATATCAGCTTATGACTAAAAGTATTTATTTATTTTAGTTTTATTAGAATTGTAATGATGAATCAACCATTGTTTTTGTTATTACACACAATCAATCAGAAAAACATGCTATTTGGAGTGGCATAATTTTAAATTATAAGAATATACATAGTGGTTATTTGATGCAACAGACAGCATAAAATGTGAAAATCAACCTAATTAGTTAGTTTGGACCGAAACGTTAAATGCAAATGAGAGAAGGTTTACTATTTTTATTACTATTTTTAAACAAAAGTCGCGAATTTCCGTTTTTATCATTTTCAATAATGATAATTAAAAAAGGAGTGGTTAATCACTCTTGAATGACATATACATCCGTAATGCTGTTGGCGATTAAAAAAAAGTTCATGCAGACATCCCTGGCTTTTTCTTCACAAAAGTTTCCAATCCTCCACTAACTACTTTTCGCAAAACAAGCACATACGAGGAAAGGTAATCCTCTGACAACTTTTCAATCAATCAATTAATAATCTTGAGTAATTCCCAATTTCCAAGTAATTCGAGCAATAATGACATGAAAGACCAGAAAAAGTTTTAAGCCTAATTACGCTCATTATATCCTAGACAACATCGAAACAAACAAATAATGAAACTTTTTCAGTGAGTGAAATTAATAATAAATTTTTGTGATATGTTGTATAATTTGAACTCTCCTAGACATAATCCTACTTGTAGTGGCACGTAATTTCCTCTCTGTGCGAGATTTCAAACCATAATCAGCTTATATGCATAAATATTCATTGTCTCACCCATTTTTAGTTGCATCCTACATGTAACGTACTACTGTGCTTTATTTTGCCAGAAGGCAGCCACTACAAATAATAACTTTCCAACTTCAAAACTACATTTGGTTTTGAAAGCATCCCTGTAAACTTTTTCTCAACATCTGCATAGTATGAATTCCAAAAAACGATCAAAATTTTCACTTCTACTTTAATGTGGGTAAATAGTATAGTAACAATTTAGAATGCAAAAAAGCCATTACAATTCACTAGTCAAATATAAGTAATTTTGAAAGCGCGTTATATATTATGCATAGAAATTCATTATACAATTATTCAACGGTATTTAAAACTCATGTTCACTACTAAAAAGAAAAGTAAACGTAATAGCCGTAAAATAAAAGTGAAACTACATCTTTTATTTTCTCGGTCAAATAAAATCATCCGTATTTACCATGTGCAATATCGTGAACATCGTGTGTCTTATCTGTCTTCTAATTTTTAACCTCTACTGCTTATTATAAAATGAAGCATTAAAAATTAAGTAAGAATTAAACTGCACAAGTACTTAATGAAGATAAAGTAGAACTTATAAAAAAAATACAGCCTTGAGAAAAATTTATCCAAAAAATCTACATTGCATATTATTACCGCCGATTTTATTACAGTTTAGAATAGAGATGCAAACATTAGCATTCTATTACACTTTCAGTTCTCACATCTATCTGATTTATTATTTTTTAATGTCAAAGTTAATTATTGACGTACTGGTAGTATACTTTGTCATTTCGATTCCCAATATTGTTAAAACTTTTATACGTCTGATAGAAGATGAAATCGTTTTTGAGATAGCAATAAAGACGACACTTTAATATGTTATTAATTAATGTTACACTTAATTCTAAAACATCTCAACTAATACTCAACTCTTGTGATAGATATTTGTATATCAATGCAATATGTCAATTAAAACAGGATATGAAACAGGCTTCATGGTATGAAAAAAATTTTGTGAATATTCGTACAACAATGTCCAGCACAAATTTTGTTTATAGCTTATCAATGTAAAATACTCGAGCAACTAAAATGAACGTTTTTAAATAGCAACTTTTTATTTTGTTAAAGCAGTTGCAATTGATGGAACTAGGCAAAACTAAACACGAGTAGTTAGCTAGTTGAGCAGTAATTTCATACCGAATGTTACAAAAATGTATTCAACCTTTCGTTGAATTATTAATTTTATCGATGTGAAAATGATGCGACTATATTGTTGCTAAATTATCAATATTTTTAACTTCAGAATGTTTAACTTCTAAGGACGAATTTAAGCTTTATTCCAGCAAACTTTCAAGTTATTTGCATTGTTAGTCAGTATTGGTAGAAAGTATTTGAGAAAACAAATCTTGCGCAGCAATCGACAAGAACTTTTGAAATATATCCTACAGAATCACATAAAGTGAGGTTGTTTTAAATTTGAAAACGTTGAAAGTGAATGGAACTTTTCAAGGAGCAATTTGCAATCTTTACGTAAATAGAAGTTGAAGGACTCAGAGAAAGTTTCATAAATTTATCGAAGTTTAGAATGAAAAAAAAAGCTTTGATCTTTCCAATACGATAGGTATTTCTGATCCTAAAAATTGCTGGAAAGTACTTATTAAGCAAAGTTTCATATTTTGTTTTGCATTCAAAATAATGAAATTTTCATTTATTATATAAATTTTGAAAATATTTATTTTTCTTCTAGTGTGGAAACTGCAAAAATTCATGAATAATAATGCATTATAACAAATTCCTCAAATTTTGATCTCTTCATTCCCTTATTTGCTCAATTTATTGTTTATTCTCTTTATTAACAAATAATTATACCTAGTCCATCAAGGATATTTATCTATACCTTTGGCTGATCGTTTTGCATTATAACACTTTTTTTAAATAACTGATTTTGACACGTTTGACATACCAAAATAAATACAATGTTAAACTCGGTCAAGTTATTCTAAATTTGTCCTGTTATCACTTTTTTCTGTCTCTATGATTAATTTTAAGCAGTCAGCAAATAAATAAATAAATGTTTTTTATTGTATCGCTAAAGAGGGTTTAGATTGAAAAAATTCATTTTATTTCAGACATTTAACAGTGGAATCAAAACATTACAATGCTGTTGCAATATAAAATTATTCAAGTTTTAAGTTTAAAAAACACTCAGTTTAAGGTACTGCAAATAATACTATAGTTCTCTACCGTCTTCTAGATATGAACTATAATTGGCTTCCTTTTATTTATTCAAATAAATAATGTAAGTGAAATCATTTACTTCCTTTTCCATCCCTCCAAACTAGTTGCTGCACGACTAATTTAGAATTAGCCAAACATTACTTTATTAAACCCATCATTCTTGATAAAAGGTAATCTAGCTTTCTATTTTAAGGAGATTTGGCAGAGAGTTAAATTTTACGGTTATCCATTTCGACATTTATAGATGTATTCGTTTTAGTATTCTTCATGCATTGCATTTCCACCTAAATTATTCGATTGCGAAGAGTAACTAACTTTTCTTCTAATAAGAAAAAATTTTTCCTTGTGAATGCATTATCCCTAACAGAATTCATTTCTAAATCACCATCACCTCTCAAATCAAACCAGAAATTTTGCAACAAAACTTGATTTTCCCTCACAATCATTTTCGCCCCATGATGAGCAACTCTGCTTTGAATATAATTCCACATGACACCTTGCGGAAATGCTCGTATTCAAACGGAATTCAATAGTGAAATCGAGTAAAGTTATGAATGAGCTCGTAATACTTTCTGCTTATTATCCAAACTACCATTGATTTCTTGCACAAACTCGGAATAGTAAAGTTGTTAATTAATAGCAACGCTCATTTTCGCATTCATTCATTTTATTTAATCATTAAGCAAATGCGATTTTCAATGATACCAATTAAGGTTATATGCTTGTTTTTCTTTTATGCTGAAAATGAATTTACTAATCATGGAGAAACATGATAAACCTGTAATGAAATCGTGCATTTTCGTAGTAATAAAGTCTCTGCAATTCAATTACAAATCCTAATATTCGATAAGCATATGATATTGTAAGAAAGGTTCA